TCTCTCCTATTCGTTCTCAACCGAACTCTTCAGTTGCTTCATCTTCATTCTTCATAGACCTTACTAGTTACTCCTAGTGTAAGTCTTTAGTATATTATATGTAAATTCTTCTCTTTTTTGCTTAACTCCAGTGAATTGTCTTCTCTTTTTTGCTTAACTCTAGATTGAGTTATTTTATCGGGTAAATCGATAACCGAACCAATAATGATCGATAACCGATTAACCGATACCCAATAACTGATATCTTATCGGTTCGGTTATCGGTTTATTAAATTTGTAAACCGATAACCGATATGCTGAACCGATAATATTCATAACCGAACCGAATCGACCGATGCCCACCCTTATTCGAGCGAGGTCAAATGTGAGTCGATTTGAGCGAGGTTGAATGTTTGACTCTTTAAGTTATTCGAACGAGGTCGAATGTAAATAAATTCGAGCGAAGTCGAATGTGAGTCGACTCGAACGAGGTCGAATGTTTGACTCTTTAAGTTATTCGAACAAGGTCAAATGTAAATAAATTCGAGTGAAGTCGAATGTGAGTCGATTCGAGCGAGGTCGAATGTCTGACTCTTTAAGTTATTTGAACGAAGCCGAATGTGAGTCGATTCGAGCGAGGTCGAATATTTGACTCTTGGCGTAATGTATGAACTTGGTGGAGATGAAAAACTCGTGTGTTTGCATATTTCGCTTTGTTTATACATTCATTGGTGAGGTTTACATACATTGGAGAAGTTTACGTACATTAAAGTTTGCATGTTTTTCTGAAGTCCCAGTCTATCTAGTCATTTCGTTGGTCGGCCTGGAAAAGTAGTTGATAGGTCGAGTGATGAACTTACACTTAAACTACGAGACGCTCTCTTTGTCGCCTCGTTAAAAACCTCCCCGAGAAAACCCAATTGGGACAAAACTCGGGTATGGGAAAAAAGAGTACGACTCGGGAGATGTCTATCCTTGGAAGTTGAAGTATTTGAGGTGGGCGACGTTCCAATTGTTTGGTAGTAATTTTCCTTCCATTGTTTCCAGCTGGAATGACCCTTTTCTTGCTGCCAGCGTGATTTTGTATGGGCCATCCCAATTGGTTCCCAGTTTGCCTTCTCGTGGGTCTTTGCTTGCTTGTGTTTTGGCTTTGAGTACGTAGTCCCCGACTTTCAGTGGCCTGATTTTGGCTTTTTTGTTGCAGTACCGCTCTGCCTGTTGTTTTTGAGCTATCATTCTTATATAGGCCATGTCTCTTCGCTCTTCAAATTCATCGAGGTCTTGCCTTCTATTCTCGTTGTTGCTTGGCCCGCTTTCATTTGAGTATCTCAGGCTGGGCTCCATGACCTCAACTGGTATCATTGCATCAGTCCCATAGACTAGTGAATATGGCTTTTCCCCTATTCTCGTCTTTGGCGAGGTGCGACGTGCCCATAACACTTCTGGTAGCACTTCCGACCACAGTCCCTTGGCGTTTTCGAGTTTCTTTTTCATGATATTCAATATTATTTTGTTGGAGGATTCCGCCAGACTGTTGCCTACGGGGTGATATGGCGTGGAGAGTATTCTTTTGATGTCCCATTTTTCGAAGAACTTAGCGGTCTTTTTTCTAGTGAACTGGGGACCATTGTCGCAGCTGATTTCTTTGGGGATGCCGAAGCGGCATATAATGTTTCTCCATATGAACGTAATTACTTCTTGTTTGCGTATTTGGGCGAATGCACCTGCTTCTACCCATTTGGAGAAATAGTCAGTTAAAACTAAAAGAAATCGTATCTTGATGAAAGGCCATGGCGAAGTGACTGAAAGAAGGTGTTCGCCGGCTTGGTGAATCATGGTGGAGTATCTTTGGCATTGCTCGCACTTTTTGACGAAGTCGGCGGCTTCCTTCTTCATTGTGGGCCAATAGTAGCCTGCTCGTATGAGGCATCTGACGAGAGCTTGGTTGCCAGTGTGAGCCCCGCAGTGGCCCTCGTGTACTTCTTCGAGGACGCGCTGTGTTTGATTTGGCCCGAAGCACTTTGCTAGGGGCCACCAAATGTTCTTTTGTACAAGTCGTTATTGACGACGCTGTACCTGGCCGCCTGCATTCGAAGCTTCTTGGCTTCTTTTTTGTCGGGTGGGAGCACTCCATCATGCTAGTATGAGATAAAAAATGTCACTTCTATCACACAATTTACAAACTAATTACAAAAATAATTGTCAACCGTCTCAAGCCATTCCTACATAAAACCATAGGTCCTACACAGTCTAGTTTCCAACAAGGGAAGCGAGCTTCTGACAATGCAATCATTGTACAGGAAATTCTCAATCACTTCAAAAATAAGAAAAGAGGACAAACTGGACAAATGCTTCTAGGCTTGGAAAAAGCTTTTGATAAACTTGAATAGTCTTTTATAAAAAAATACTCTTCACTACTTCAACCTACCAAACAATCTCATCTCCATAATAATGTCTTGCATCACTACGTCTTCCATATCTATCTTGATAAATGGCTCACATACCAACGATTTTCAACCATCCAGGGGTATGCGACAAGGGGATCCACTATCTCCTTATATCTTTATTATATGCCTAGAATGTCTCTCCCGGAATATCTTCCAATCAGTAGATTACCTACTATGGAAACCCATACAAATTTCTCAAAATTAGCCACAATTATCACACCTCTTCTTCGCAGACGACATCATCCTTATCTCTAAAGTAAATAATACAAGCTGCCACACTATCATTGACACCCTTAATAATTTTACTACTTTATCAGAGCAAACTATTAATTTCCAAAAATCCAAGATATTTTCTCAAAAAACTACAATAATGAGGCCAAAAACCATATACTATCTTGCTATTGCATGAATGAAGGACTAATTTGGCAAATATTTGGGTTTTCCCATGTTTCAAAAAAGACCTAATAAATCAGACTTCCAATTCCTCCTAAACAACTTCAAGGCCAGACTCGCAGGATGGAAAATAAATTTTCTATCACTGGCAGGTAGAATAACCCTCATTAAATCAACCCTTTCTAGTTGCCTAACCATATGATGCAATACATTACAATTCCTAAAAATATTATAAAAAAAATGGAGCAATAAATGCGTAACTTTCTTTGGGGCACTACTCCTCAAAAAAGTAAAATACACTTAATCAACTAGAAAAATGTCACTACCCCAAAATTATTGGGAGGCCTAGGTATACAGAGACTTGAATTAGAAAACAAAGCTCTATTAGCAGGACTATCCTGGCGCTTCTTTCACTCACCCAATCAACTTTGGGCTCACACTCTTATACAAAAATATAAGAACAAATATACAATAGGAGGATTTTCTAATACTTGGCACAGTATCATATTAGGTTGGAAACAATGCCAACATGGATACAGTGGCAAGTGGGTAGCAATTCTAATATCAATTTCTGGAATGATGCTTGGATTGCTCCAAACACCATAATTAGATCTCTCATACCTGGTCCTATCCCTTTAAACCACACTACAAGGACTATAGCTACCTATAGAACTCAAAATGGATGGGATTGGGAAGAAATCCCCTTTAACCTTACAAGACAATTAAAAAACACCATACATAGGATCAATGTGCCTGTCTACGCCACTAAATTTGACACTATATATTGGGGCTTATCACATCAAGAAAAAGTTACAGTGCAATAAATTTATTCTAATTTACTCTAACAGGACCTAAACATAATATCACACATACCCCAATATACTTGGATTTGAAAAATTCCAGTACCATCCAAAATTAAAACATTCCTATGGCTTATAATGCACAATAGTCTACCTACAAGGCACTATTTGCACCATATAGGTATACTCATAGACGATCAGTGCCAAATCTGCAATAGAGCTCAGAAAACTATGAACCACATATTTTTACACTGTTCAAACATCCAACAAATGTGGACACACTTGGGACTAATGGATGTTATTAACCATATCAGTAGTTTTTTACACCCTTCGGAATGGTTAATGAGTCTTATTAAAACTAAACAAAATCACATGCCTTACCGTATCAATAATAAAACTATTATTTCTTACACTTTATGGCGCATTTGGCTTGCTCGTAACAATCACAACTTTAATTGTACACAACACCGCTTATCCACTAAATTGATCACTAACCAAGTACTGGAATTTACTTACTTGGCCACCAACATGCACACAAAACAAAATCCTCTAATGCAGGCCATAAAATGGATCCATCCTAAACCAAACTACTATAAATTAAATACGAATGTGGCTGCATCATCAGTAACTCACAAAGCAGGTACAGGGGGACCCATACATGATTCAAATGGAAATTGGATTATAGGATTTGCAGGTAACATTGACACTCCAACCAGTATCCATGCAGAACTACAAGCCCTCTTTCATGAGCTGGAATTGGCAACTACTCGCAATTTGGTTCCTCTAGAAATAAACGTCGATGTATTAGAGATACTAACACTATTAAAAAATAATAACGTCATTTATACTAATATAGTCTCTGACTGCAAGCACCTCCTGGACCAAATGCATAGCGTCACAGTTGCGCATACCTACAGAGAGGAAAATGAGGTGGCTGGTCGTTTGGCTAAAGCAGGCTACAGCATGGCACCTACTACAAGACCTACTGTTTTTGAAGAGCCACTAGATTTTTGTCAACACCATTTTGCAAATGGATCACGTAGGATCTGTACGCTATAGGAGGACAACGTGCAGATCAGCGAAACAAGCTCTGGATATAGAACAAAACCCTTTGTTAGCCACTGATGACGAACATGCAACCACAACCCCCAATGGAGTTACTATAGTAGAGAACTCCATTGGGCACATGCATCACCCTCTCTATAGTAACTCTCTTTAAGTTTTTAATGCAATATTATCTTTCTTACCAAAAAAAAAAAAATAGTCCCTAATAATTTAAATATTCTTGAATTTTCATTTATGTTGTTTTCACTTTTGTTTTTGAAAAAAAAAAAAAAAAGGGAAGGGTATATCAGTCATTAACACAAAACGAATGAACTCGCTCCAGCATCTCCTTCTCTCGCCGTCTCTAACCCTAAAACCTCAGTTCAGCTAAACTGCAACCCCTCTTTGGCTCCTCCTCTCATTCCCATATTCGATTTTTCTTACAAAGATAACATACAGAAAACGCAGATAATATAGTCAAAGAAAAATGGGGAAAGAGGAGACTACCCAAAAGTCACAGCTGGCTGTCACTGTAGAGCAGCTCATTGCCGTTAACCCTTACAATCCAGATATCCTCCCTGATCTTGAAAACTATGTTAACGAACAGGTACTCTCAAATTTACTCCAAAGTTTTATCTCTTTTAATTGGTTCATATCCCTTTTCAGATTTTTTTTTTCGAATTTCTGTTTCTGATTGAGTAAATTTCAATGTGAATTTTAGGTTTCTACTCAAACATACAATCTGGATGCAAACCTTTGCCTTCTTCGTCTTTATCAGGTTTGTGTCGTTGTTTTAAGAAGTAATAATTGAATTTGGTGCTAAAAACAATCTTTTTGATTTATAATTTGAGTTTTATTTGTGCAGTTTGAACCAGAGAGAATGAGTACACCAATTGTTGCTCGTATTTTGGTGAAGGTGCAATAATGTTCTTGTCTTTGTATCCTGTGACATTACGCATTGCCTCTGTTATTTTAATTTGTTTTTTTTGTTTGGAAAAAATAGGCACTAATGGCAATGCCAGCTCCAGATTTCAGCCTCTGTCTCTTTCTAATCCCGGAACGAGTGGTATGTATCTCTGGCATTGCCTTTTAGAATGACTTTCCCTTTGATGAATGTGAATTGTAGTTTTGCTTGTCTCGTGTACTCTGGGTGGAGTGTGGTTGGAAAAAAATGTAAATACTGTCAGCCGAAGATGTACATGGACAGACGGAGCTAGAGTGCCGGTAGCACCCAGTAACTTGTATTTGTCTTAAAAATCTATTGAATATGTATAAATTATTAGTTTAGAACCCAGTAACTTAAAACGATTAGAATCCCGAGCCCATAAGCTTGAAATACTGGCTCCGCCTCTTTACATGTATGGCCGACATACTTTTGTACTTCTCCTATTTGTTACCAGAAATACTTAACCATTTTTCATTAATGCCGACACAGCCGTTAGTAGTCTCATTGCTTATGTTAAATTAGAAAAAACAAGAAGGAAAGTTAGTGAATCGATTATCGACATAATTCTGAAATGAGAAAACCCCAATTAGATCGTCTGTCACGATAATAGGAATCCTTAACCCGAAAAGATCTTCTGTGAGGCAAGTGGTTCGGTTATCGACATAGTTCCTTCTTTTGTCTCATTCTTGATGCCAAATTTGGGTACTCATCGTTGTCTTATGATTGCCAAATGTTAAGTGCTCATTATTTTCTGGCTGGGGATTTGGGAAGGATTGTTGCTTTATTATGTCAGAAATGTCCTCTGTGTTCTGGGAGTGAGGAAATTAGCTAAACAATGAAGTCTGGATCAAATAAATAGATATATAATGATGTCTGAGATCTGATCGCTGTTCTGTGAAAAGATATCTACAAACATAAAGGACTGTCTTCCCTTGAAGTTGTCCATTTCCTTCTATTGGTCTTTTTCAAAATTTAAGCTAGTACAGTTTCCTATTTGTTTGTGAAATGCATCCATATGGATCGGAATGGATATTGAATTTGAGGATTCATAGAGCCGACCCAACAAGTTTGGATTGAGTCATTGCTGTTGTTTGGTATTATCTAAGTCTATGGTCTGATGGCCACTTTCATGTACCAATTTTGGCTGCACTTATCGCCTTCCTTAATTTTCTTTACTTATTTATTGTGGTTGTTGTGGTTATATGATGCTTTCGGGGAGGTAAGGCAGAAATATTTTGATATCTAGATATAAATCTTCAACTGTGTAAGATGCAGATATTATCCTCTTTTTTTTTTTTTTTTATCATAATGATTTTCTCATTTCACTCCTCAGCAAATGGAAGAGCAATTCAAGACGCTAATTGTTCTCTCACACTACTTGGAGGTATGTCATACTGTGATTGCGGATAGCTTTCTTTCAATTCAATGATTTACTGAACAAGTGAACACATCTTTTGCAGACTGCAAGGTTCCGTCAATTTTGGGATGAAGCTGCAAAGAGCCGCCACATAGTGGAAGTTGTCCCTGGTATTACTGAATACTTTAATCCCCGCGCTCCACTATGTTCATAAAGTAGCTATTTTTTATGCAATGAGAAACCTATTTATTTTACAAAAAAAGTATAAATTCTGTGCAGACATGCTTAGAACTGTTGAGACAGGGGGAATTTCATGGAAGGATTGAGTTTCAGACCATTTCCTTTTAGTTAACTAAATTTGCTTGATCTATTAATTTGTAATAATTGTTGCAGCAGATATAAGCCATTAAATACCCTGAATGTTTCTTGTGACGATCTGCATTTGGCCCAACCTAAATCTTTGTACTGTTTTTAACAACAAAGTGAAGGAAATGCAATGTCTAATATTCTCAACCCCTATATTGATTACATGATCTACCAGTCAAGAGAAAAATATTGATCATCTGTGTATTCTGTCCCTGTATTCTTTTATCCTCTCCTTGCCCCCAGTGTTAGCAGTGGTCCTTGATAAAATGAGGAACTTTTTAAAGTTTAAAAATGTATTACATCTTTTTAATAGAACTGAGGAAACAACAGGAGTTTCATGGGGGGATTTTGAGTTTTGAACTGTGTCTTTTTACATAGCTGTCATTGCTTACTCTACTAAGTAGTTATCATTTTATGTTGGAAATTTAAGCCATTAACATACGTGAGTGTTTCTCCCTGACAATCTAGACCCGGTCCAAACCTAAATCTTTGTGCTGTTTTCAACACAAAGATTTACATGATTTGGATATCTGCATTTGAAAACTCTGTGATCTCACAATTGTATTGTCCTTGTGTTTGTTTAACTTCCAACTTAATTAATAAAATTATTGACTTCCAACTTTTTCAGAGAAACTAACTTTTACCTTGTCAAAAAAAAAACTTTTTCAGAGAAACTGCTTTTGATGTTTGTCTGTGCATTCAAACTACTACTGTTGTTTCCTGAAATATTTTTCAACAGCCAACCATACCTCTTTTACATTAAGCAGATATAGAACGTTGCAAATGCAAAATCAGTTCTGTATTTGATGAAAGTGAATGCTTTCTGGGACAAGCTTGAATAGAAATGTTGGAGAAAAATAGTATGAGATGGACTTTTGTTGAGACTTGATCCCCTCTTGTATTATTTGTATATGTTGGCTAACTCAGACTTGTGCCCATAATGTTGCCTTTTGTTATAAATTTCTTATTTTGTTGCTCATAAAAGAACAAAATTCTTTTCTTGGTAGTTGTCTCCTGCTTCTCCTTCTGTGTTACACCATTGTAGATTTAGCTTGAAATTTTATCGTAATTTTTTACAATAAAAAAAGTTTCATCATAATTTTGAGATTTGACCTAGGATAAACTTCTTTTGCATATAGAATTTACAGGGTAATATCGTAATGTGCCTTTGCACGGGGTTTTCCACCCTCTTTGCTGGTGTATAGAGAAATGAATGATATTTATATTCAGAAAATATGTACTGCAGGTTTTGAACAAGCAATTCAAGCATATGCTGTTCATGTCCTTTCAATAACCTACCAGAAGGTTCCAAGGGCAATTCTGGCAGAGGTATGTTTTTCTCCATGATTGCTTGTGTATTATCTATTCTAATATTTACTTGTGCAACCACCTGAAAGAATTTGGAAGGCTCACAAATCTTAATCATTGGATAAATATATGGTTTGCAAAACAATAAGATGAATGGAGAAACTTCTTGAGAAGTTGAAATGGATGGTTGAATTTACCCGATAGTCCCTTGAGTCTCTCCTATCATTATGACATGCTTTGCAGCTCACCCTGTTATTTAATCTTGGCAGGCAATCAACATTGAGGGTCTTTCATTGGATAAGTTCCTTGAGCACCAAGTGTCGAACAACGGTTGGGTTATTGAGAAAGGTCAGGGTAAGGGCCAATTTATCACACTTCCTCGCACTGAATTCAACCATCCAGAGCTTAAGAAAAATACTGCTGATAGTGTTCCGCTGGAGCATGTTACGCGTATCTTCCCCATTCTTGGCTGAAGCCCGCAATGGTATTTTGGTATAGAACCTGGAGTTACTTTTGATTTTTGAGAGCAAATTTTCATCTTGAGACACAATGTGACTGTAGGTCCTTGCATTTTGTGAATTTTAATCTACTCGAAGATGGTCCTTTCTTTTTTACTGCCAGTTAGTTTTTTCTGGAAGATGTTACAAATATACTTTGTGCTCTTGAAGTTTATAATGTAGTGACAAGGACAATGTTAAATTGTTATCTAAGAACCCTTGAATCAAGATGAAATCTTGCATGTGCTTTAAATTATTATCCGCGGAAGCTAGGGTATTCACTATATATAAACAAAAAATACTTGGGCCAAGTTGAGTGATTTCGTTATGAAAATGAAATTCAAAAATAGCCAGATTTACAAGTGGTCATTTAAAAATAGCCATAGTTTCAAAGTAATCGTAATTTAGCCACTTTTCATGTAAAGATAAATTTGAACGAAAATTATGTCCAAAATCCGAAAATATACTCCAGTATAATATACTGGAGTTTCAGCATAAGTATATTGGAACTCCAGTATAATATACCGGTCCAGCATAATATACTGGAGATTGGAGCATCGGTTCTCCAATCTCCAGTATACTATGCTGGAACTTTTCGCATGTTGGAGTTCCAGCATGATATGTTGGAAGTTCATATACAGGTGCACCGATCTCCAGTATATTATGGTAGAACTTTTCGTGTTGCAGAAAAATAGTGGCTATTTTTCAATGACTTAGCAAACGCTGGCTATTTTTGAATGACCAATCCGAAAACTAACTAGCCCGTGCTATTTTTGCAAAATTAACTTCTTATAGTATTATTTAAGCAAACTTGAGTGACCTTTTTTGTTATTAACATTGGCAACGAAAGAAGGCTTGATACTTCTAGCAGAGGAGCTACCAATTGGTTCACCAAATTTTGATTTAGCATTACACATACTCTTAAGTCCGAAGGAATCTAGTGTCCAGCAACACTTTTTAGAGGTGGAATACTTGATTTCTTCACTTAAGAACTTGATTCAAAAGAGAAAAGAGATGTGAATTTATATTGATATGGAGTCCTTGATTGTCTGCGGCAAAATACTTTTTTAAATAATATTTTTTTTATTTTAATATAAAAGTCGGTCAGCATAAAACATCCTCTTTGATAGATATATTTTACATAAAATGAGGGGAAAATAACTTGCCTTCTTATGTGAAGTTTATGTTCTAACCTCGTTTTATAACTTCTCCTTCAAAATTATGTTAATATTGTTGTCAGCATTTAATACTCAAAAATTTACAAAGATATTACTCCTCTGGTCCACTTTAATTGTTTTTTTTGTTTTGTTTTCACACATTAGAAATTGGAAAGTGCTAAACGACCACACTAGCGTGACCCAACTTTGGTCACACCAGTGAAAATACATAAATGACCCTCTAACTAATTAGCCTACATTTTTCCCTCCAAAACCCAAAATTAAATAGTCTTGAAGTATGCGAAAATTAAATGTTGGGAGATGAAGAGCCTTGTGTATTTCCCTTGTATTTATGTGTTATACGTTTTTTAATTTTTAACAAATTATTGTATTTTCTTAAAAACAAATACGGTATACGATTTTGTATACTTCCTCCTTACCAAACCCTAAACCAGCGGACACTTTCCTCCTTGCCTATCCATAAACCAGCGGACACTTTCTCCTTCTCTAAAAATGGATTCAAACTAAGAAAATTTGGCGGTGCAACAAAATATGAATCCAAATGAACATAACACAAATACAACAACCATGAATATCAACCAAGATAATAGGTTTGATCGAGTTAGGGACGAGTTGTACAGATCTTTAGGGATGACATCGGACGATAGTTTGTTGAATGAATACGAATGGGTCGATGTTGATTCTCACGGCAGTTTCAACAATGCTGTGCACTTAGATGATGATGAAGAAGAAGCCGATGGAGAATATCACGGAGAAGCTAACGATGATGAGGAGCAGGTTTTAGGAAATGAGTTAGAGTTATGTGATGTTGATCGAGAAATGGAGAATGAATTCACTGAAGAGGATGTGGTTGTAGGTCCAATCTCTGGAATGCGATTTAGAGATAAAGATACTTTGTTTGCATTCTACAAAGAACATGCACGACCGAGAGGATTCTCTGTCATCAAAAGAAATTCCAACAAGAAGGGTGGTGACACTGCCAGGTATATAACCTACTGTTGTGATAGGACTAGGATTCGCAAAATCAAGTTTACCACCAAGAGTAACAATTGTAAAGCTAGGCTAGCTGCTGTTTTGAATGATTCTGATTGTGGGCGCGTCTCTAAGGTTGTTCACGATCATAATCATGAATTGCTCCCATCTGTATCGCTCCTGATGGCTGGACATAGGTGTGTTTGTGATTCTTTGAAGAGGGATCTTGTAGCTCACGATCGATCTGGCATTAGACCCTCCAAGAATATTAGACTTGCTGAGGTTCAACGTGGTGGACCGCAAAATTTGGGTTGCACTCCTGATAACTAGGGATTTTGACGTATTTTATACTCCTTCTTGCTTATGCTTTGATCAAATATTCATACAAAATAGTCCCAAAAGGCTTACAAGTTGTGCTTGATTGCAGGTTTGATCAACAAAGTGACAAAATATCAAAGATCGGCTCAAAAAGGAGTGAAACTTGCACAAGTGCCAAAGACAAGGCAAGCTCAGGCAGAACAGGCCCAGTGCGGCCGCACACCACTTAGTGCGGTCCGCACTGGGAGAATCAGAGAGTTGAATTTCAGGCTTCAAGGCAGTGCGGCCGCACACTATTTTGTGCGGTCCGCACTGAAGGCAACGCGGCCGCAGTCCATTCTCTGTGGTCCGCGGTGCCAAGATTCAGAGAGGATGATTTTTAAAGTTTGAAGCCTGTGCGGTCCGCGGTCAACTTTGTGCGGACCGCACTAGAAGCCTCCACGGCCGCGGTCCATTCTGTGCAGTCCGCGGAGCCCAAGTTCAGAGAGTGAGATTTTTTTATGTCAAAGAGCTAGTGCGGACCGCGGTCCATTCTGTGCGGTCCGCACTAACCCCGCAGGGGCATTTTTGTCCAGATTTTTCAGCTTAGTATAAATAGATTCTTTTTCCATTTTTAGGGTATCAGATATTGTAATACTTAAGCTGCGCTCGTGAGACGACTTTTCTTAGCCATTTTGGGCATTTTTACTTACTTTCCATCATTGAATCTTTGTATTTAGCTTAACAATTAATTAATATGTGTTTATCTTCATCTATTTCTTGTTTTTCTTCTTTGAATATGAGTAGCTAGACCCTATAGCTAGGGTTGTGGCTCAACCCTAGTGTGGGTAATTGATGAGTCTTGTATTTTAGGGCTAATTTGACTATGGGTGTTTGTTATTTGGGTCAATTTCATGGTTAATTTCTGAATTAGTGGTTGCAAACACTAGTTTGTGTTGAGTTGACTTGAGCTCTTCTTGAGAAAGAGAGCCTAAGTCTCCGAAATTGGTCCAACAATGAATTGGGGCGTACTCAAGAGATTGATAGCCCCAATTAAAGGGTTAAACCTCGAGAGAGTAATACCCGAATTGAACCCTAGTTGCTTGTGCAAATTTGCATACCCAATTGGTCTTGAGAAAGCCAATTCGGGCAAAATCACTCGAACCACCGAGAGGTGTAGAGTGTGTAAAGTCGTGCAACGGTTATAACATACTCCCCAAACGTGTCAAGCATGCCTTAAATTCAAGTACCCGTCAATTGACCACCTAGGCGTCACTACCCTAGTGCCTTTTAAACCATTAGATACAACTTGCAATATTTAACTCTTAGCTTAATTTACAATTTGTAGTTTGTTAAAAGTAGAATTATAAAGAAAACCCCAAAAATGTTGAGAAGTGCAATTAAGAACACATACGCATTCCTAAACTAGATAGATACTCGACTCCAATTCTAGCTCTCTGTGGATATCGATCCCGACCCAAAAATCGGGTAAAAGCTATTGTGACCCTCTCTTGCTACTTTTTAGTAGTGCGGAGTTGGAAGCGATCAACTCCAAAGGATTGTAGAAATTATATTTTGAAGAGTAGGAATTTTGAAATGCAAGAAGGGGACGCACAGTCGCTGCTCAACTTTTTTCGTGAAATACAGGTAAAGGATAGAGAGTTTTTCTATTCAGTCGATGTTGATAATATTGGTAGGCTGCGAAATGTGGTATGGGTGCATTCACACTGTAAGGCAGCGTATGAGCAATTCCATGATGCGATATGCTTTGATACAACGTACCTTGTGAATCGATATAATATGCCATGTGCTTCATTTGTTGGCATCAATCACCATAGACAGTCCATCTTACTAGGATGTGCTCTCATGTCTCATGAAGATATCGATAGTTACAAATTAGTTTTTAGAACTTGGCTTGATGCCATGGGAAATGTTCATCCGGATGCGATCATAACTGATCAGTGTCAGAGCATTAAGGTAGCCATTGCTGAAGTGATGCCAAATACAATACATAGGTATTGTATTTCGCATATATTCTCAAAGTTGCATGTTTACTTAAGTGGTGTTCGTCCTTCTAAAATTGCACGTGCAGAATTTCAATCCATGGTCCTTGATAGCATTATTGTTGAAGTTGTTGAGAGAAAATGGACAGAATATATTGCAAGGTATAATTTGCATACAAGGAATTGGTTCATCAAGCTTTACTCTGAGAAGGGAAAATGGGTTCCTGTGTACCTTGATGTGTATTTTTGGGGTGGTATGCTATCTACGCAAAGAAGTGAGGGGATGCATGCGTTCTTTGATAGATATATTACCCGTCAAAGCACTCTAAAGATGTTTGTTCACCAGTATGAGTTAGCTATAAGAGCTAAGCATGAGAAAGAGTTGGAAGCGGAATACAGGTCAAAGGGCTTTCAAATTGTGTGCGAGTCAATGTTCAAGTGGGAGCAGCAGGCAATTCAGTGTTATACGCGTACAGTGTATGAATTTTTCAAGACACAACTAAGGAAATTGTATCATTGTGAAGTCAGCAGCCCCGACGATCATCAAGTTGTCCCCGGTGTTGAGAAATTCATCGTTAGTGATTATTCAGTAATAATAAAAAATAATGGAAATCCAGTTGAGTACACTGTTGAATATATACTTATCGGCGATTATTTTAGTTGCAGCTGCAAATGGTTCGAGTCTTGAGGAATACTTTGTTGCCATATACTCAAGATCTTGTCGCACAAGAAGATTGATAAAATTGATGGAAGGTATATACTTACAAGGTGGAGAAGCGATGTTATTAGGCCACACTTGAATCGGTTCCATCAAGTTGGTTACCCAACCATGACGCCTGAGTATAAGACATACAAGAGCATGTTGAAGTATTTTGACATGGCTTGTGATATAGCACTGGGCACTAGCGTGAAGGTTCAATATGTTAAGCATAATTTGAAGAAAATGGTGCATGATCTTCAAAACTGGGACGATGAAATGATCGTGCCAAACCAAGACCAGGATGACTCAGATGACAATGTTGATGGCACAACTCTACGAGATCCCCAGTACACTAATTCACGTGGCAGGCCGCGTTTGAATCGATATAGAGGAAGAATTGACTACTACTTTACAAGTTCACAGCCGCGTAGTGTATTTGGAGCTAGTAATGGCGCAAGAACTGGTGTTAGAGGGGGTGGCAGGGGTGGTGGCAGGGCTGGTGGCAATCGTGGTGGTAGAGGTGGCGGTAGAAGTGGTGGACGTAGGGGTAGGGGTAATGGGCAAGGCAGAGGTACAAACGTTGAGCATGATGGTTCCCTAGGTGTGAATGAGGTACAATTTTGCGACTACATTTGATTTATTACTTAAACATATCATGTTTTCTTATAGTGTTTGTTTGATTTTAATTGCAGCAAATTGACGCTACACAATCGCAATCAAGCTTGTTTGATCTCAATGCCTATCCAGACGTGGAAATATAATAAAGAATATTGCTAAAACTTGGAGTTCTCAGTTGGCCTAATAGCATTGTTGTTTTATTTGGTGTAGAACTTTTTGATTTTGAAGAAATTTTGCTAGTTTTGATTATGAAACTTAAACATATCAAAAAAAATTCTTATAATGTTTGTAATGGCATATTAGCTACTACACGATTTTGGATTAGTTTATCAAATCTCCAATTTCTTTCCCGTTCATACTCACACACGCAGGTTCGAATCCCCGGTTTAACATTGTTCTTTCCTTTTATTTTTATCCGAAGAGGAGGTTTATTCGTGATGACTTTTCCAATTCTCTATGACCAAATTGTATTAAGATTGTCAAGAGTTTTTTTTTTTTTTTAATTTTTTTTTGGGTTCTATTACATCTGAAAGAAGATGAGGAGGTTTAATTTCCAGTCCTCTTCCCAGTAGTTTAGGTTTTAGTCGTATTTTGAGGAGGTTTTAGTCGTTTAGGATAATGTATAAAATAATTTTTATAAACATGAAAAAACTATAACAAGCAAAAATCACAGACGATAATTCCACTATCCTTTAATAAGTATAACAGTAATACAAGGAAAAAAAATAGACAAAAGTATAAGAAAATCATATTAATACATAAATATTTTAATGACAAGGGTTGAACACAGGCGTACATGAAAAACCTAAGCATTAAATGTTCCTATCCTTGCACTTCAACAACGAATATCACTGCACTTGATGTAGCCTCTACAAGTTCAAAAAGAAGAACACCCCCTTTGTTTAACTTGTTGTCTACAACAAATTGTTTCCACCCGTTAACGAGTCTTCTTCGAACAACACCTGTTAGAGTCACATTCCACTCATTCCCGTTACATCGTAGTAATGTCTTAGCCGTACTAGGAGGAAGATATTGACAGATTTTCTTTGAAAGGTACTGCACAAGCGTAATGGAAAGATAGGGTAAAAATCATTTAATGTTAACTAAAAAAAGAAAAAAATAAATTTACCATATAATCGCGCTTGATGTACGATCTGGAAAATTTCATCCTAAACCATAGATAGAATTCCTCTTCTTCAATCCACCCGTCAGCATTCATATGAAACGTTTCTTCCATAGCAAATATAGGTTAACTTATGTTTAGATGTGTGTGTGTGTGCGTGTATATATATATATATATATATAGAGAGAGAGAGAGAGAGTCAAAAAATGTTTCCACTCCCTCCAATCGTTTTTAAGAGTCCCTTTGTTTCCCTCCAAATATTTTATGGAAAATTTTAGTCATTCACAAACTAAATTTCAAACGATTAGTTTCATATGGATCAGTTCAAACCATTAGTTTCATATGGACCCTTCCATTTCTGGCTTTTGAAATTTTGGCCTTTAATGAACATAGAAGATTAAATGAAGAAGGGTTGTAAAGATGAATGAGAGGACTGATCGGGTGCTTGCATTGAATTGTTATGCAACTGCAACTCCTTAAATTCTCCTTACTTACCGCATTAATTCAGTGGTTGAATTCCCATTAAACCGATTCATGTACTTGGAATTGGTTCAAAAAACGTAAGGAGAACATTGTTTACATGACCCCAGGTAATCTGAAAAAAGTTCATAAAAAAATATAAAACATAAAAAAAGATTCAAAACATAATAATAATTTCATTCGTTAATATTAGATTGCATGATAACATCACCAATACATAACGAGAAAAATAAAAACATCACCATAGGGGTAGACAACTTCATAGACTAGTAGAAAAATATCACCATAATCAAAAAGACAACATGAGATAAAAACTTCATAATCCATGGACTACTCAATATTCTGGTTCACGGAAAGAGACTTTGAGGTCTTGGAGGCTGATTCGGTATCACTACTGATAATAATGACAAAATTTCTCTTAGCTCCATTCTGGACGGATGGTGTGGGCATATCGTCAAGCATAGTATATAGTAAAGTTAGGGGATGCTCCTCCAGCATCACACTTTTTAGGTAATCAATGCTTGAATCAAGAACCACCCTCTCAATCAGTTCATTAATCTCACGCTTCAGCTTGCTATAGTCACGCTTAAGATCTTGGTACAAAATATTATGACTAACCGGTGAGCCATGGAGCGGTTGTTCAACAGCTTTCTTGGTTGGAGTCTTATCCATCGTTATGCTTAGATGTAGTAGTATTTTCAGTTTGATTGTTTTATGTAGATCTAGCATATTTCACTCAAAATATATAGGGAGGATTATAATTTCTCAATTATAATAGCTATTCCACTTCCCAGTAGGAATTAAAGTCTCTTTGTAGAGACCCTATGCAATCATTACACTTCCCAATAGCAATATCCGCTCCTCCATGCGGACATTACACATCCTAGCAGCCCCTTCCACTCCTCCATGCATCCATTGCACTTCTTTATGACTACAACTAATTATAGAAGCTTGTCTTTAATTTATCCATCCGCCTATACAAATTTTGGATTTTTTTAGTTAAAAAAAGAACTTCTGCCATATAGTGGCAGTGCACTTCATAGGTTTTATGTCATAGTCTTACCTTAGAAGACTTGAGCAATCCATATAAACGGTCAGGTTTAGGTTTAGGTTTAGGTTCTCTTTTGCTTTAGGTTTAGGTTTAGGTTTAGGTTCTCTTTTGGTTTAGGTTTAGGTTTAGGTTTTGATTTTCCGTGTTGATTTTTCAACTTCTATATGAGCAAATTAATGTCGAGTTTTAAACTTTTTTGGCAAAAAGAAAATAATCGTCCTAGTCTTGTTCTTGGTTGTAAAATGATAGAAAAGAATTGGGGGACTTCTGCACTAAATATGTTGTTTAATGACTTCCCAATTTTAATTGGCTATTTTTAAACCAGTAGTCTTCTTAAAATAAATAAATATAACAATAATAAATGGAAAAATCACAAACAATATTATAAAGAACAATCATATTAATCCATTACTATGATCCATTTGAAGTCATTACATATAACTAAAGAGAAGAAATTATCAAGCTAAGCATTAGTTAATCCTAGCTCTTCAACACAGAAGATCACAGGCCTTGAAGTAGCCTCAACTAGTTCAATGAGAAGGACATTCCCTTTCTTCAGATTATTGTCGACAACAAATTGTTTCCACCCATTGACGAGTCTTCTCCGACCACCACTTGTGAGAGTCACATCCCACTCCTTCCCATTACATCAAAGCATTGTTTTAACCGAAATAGGAGGAAGATAGCCACATATACTCTTTGGAATAAACTGCAAGAACACAATGTAAAGATAGGGTTCAGGGTTCATTGCTAGTTGGGATAATCAACAGTTATCAACTCATGAAAATTTAAGAAAAATAAAATTACCAGAAAATCACGCTTAATGTACGATTTGGGCACCTTCATCCGAAACCATGGATAGAATTCTCCTTCAATCCATTAGTTAGCATTCATGTTTAGAGTGTCTATTTTGTTTAGAGAGAGATGGAGATGTTGTTCTTGTGTTTAAGAGATATATAAAGAGTAAAACTTTCAATTTCCCTCCAATCATATTTTTACTTTTCCCTTTGTTTCCCAAAATTGTATTTAACATTTTAGTCAAAAAATATCATATTGTTTTCTCTCCTAATAAAGAAGCTAGAATACATTAGTCCTAAAATTTAATCATGATTTCCCTTTTATTACAATTAAGATTAACCAATAAAAATATATATAATTATATATTTACTATTATATAAATAAGGTAATACGTATGACCTTAATTAATGAAATTATATAGACGCCTATTATATAAGCGGTCGATATTAATATGAATCACTATAATTATCATATATTATATGACTGCAACCATAATAGTCAATGGACTTATATGGTTGATATAGGCCGATACGTATGTCCTTAATATAAACGACTATTATATAAGTGGTCGATATTACTATGAGTTAGAACGATATAATTAGCATAGGTTATATGACTAAAACCATATTAGTAAATGGACCTATACGGTTTCTATATGCCAATATGTATGACCTTATTGAATGAAAATATATTTATAGACGGACAATTATTGTGAATTGCAATGATGCAATTATCATAGGTCATATGACTACAACCATATTAGTGAATGGACTTATATGGTTGTTGTAGGCCGATACGTATGACCTTAATATAAACGGTCGATATTACTATGAATCACAACGATAGTATATGCATAGGTAATCATATTAGTAAATGGACCTATACGGTTGCTATAGGCCGATACGTATGACCTTAATA